AACACCAGCATAGAGCGCACCAAACCGCATCGACAGTGAAGCTTGCGGGAAGCAGCCGGCTACTTGGTGCAAAGTTAGACTGCAGCACCCTCACACACCATAGGAGCAAATCGCGCCCGCCTCGAAACGAGGAGTTCCAAATCTGAAAATGTATCAATAAACATTGAGTAGAGGGGGCTACAATGTGGCCAGAGAACCACCTGAAATTCCGCTACATACCTCGCTGCACGGGGATCATTTGACTGGTCGGAGAAACGATCCCAGCTTCCCCCGAGGAGCCTTGCGGAGGTCGCGTCTCCACACTAACTCGTGACGTAGTTGTCACGTGATGCGCCATCCTCGCCTCTCCTCTGGGGATTTCTCCCTCATGTGTATCCCGCTTAATTGGACACTAAAGGCAACTTTTAAGTCGACATTTATTGTTGAAATCGTTGAAATCGTGGTCCAAAAACCTCGTAGTGTCACTTGTCAAGGAAATGCCTATTTTGAAATAAAATTGTGTTTTAGTGGTTCGCATCGAGTTAGTGCACTTCAAGTTACCCGCCTCAAGAAGCGGACTGACCGTCTTTATTGAGCTACAGTGAAACCTCGTTAAACCGTGCCCGCGTAAACAGTAGTTTTGTTTTAAAAGTAGTGAAGTCAAATCTCCGACTCGGCGGCCATTGAACATAATGCATTTTGTATCCGCATAAGCTGTACCAGCTTATCGCGTATGTATCGGTTAATAAGTAGTTTTTCCAATTCTCGTTGCACACTCGCCGCGGCATGTCGTCCCCCACTGGGCGTCCCGACAGAACAGCAAGCCCCAGAGATCGAAACACGCCTCGCTTGTTTGTGTTGATGATGACGGATGTGTTGGTAAGTGCCATCTCTTGGATTTTTCTGCAACAAGAAGCACTCGGCCGGCTAGGCTTCTGGTGTTGTCCACGCGATGGCGCTTTGCAAAAACACGCAAACACGCAAACACGGTGTGCGCTTGCTTTGCTTTCTTTCTTCCTTTGGTGCCGTGCATAGGTGTTCTCTGGTTGATCCGTGCCGTACAGCTCTCGCGTAATTTTTCACGTGTTGTGTACGTGTGCTTGTGCTGCTTGGTACTTGCGTCATGCCGAAGCTGGGACAAAAGCATCGAGTGCTGAAAATAGAGGAGAAATTGGGCATAATTCGTGCTATTGAAAGTGGCACGAAAAAATTGGCACTGGCACGCGAAAAGGACCTGCCATTAACCACGGTGTGCGGAATTTGGAATTCGAGAGAGAAGTTGCTCAGCAGTGCTGCTGCAACTGCGAAAAGGTGCCAGCTGCACGGTTCGTTCGGCGTTTTCAGATGTAGAGGAGGCGCTGATGAAGTGGCTAAAAGCTGCACGGTCAAAAAATCTGCCTAACAGTGGAACCCGTGCTTGTGGAGAAGGCCCTGGTTTTTGCCTCGCAGCTCAACCATGACAACTTTGTGCGCAGCAATGGCTGGCTGGCCAGATTTAAGGTGAGGCACGGCATTTCCACGAGGACTGTTTCGGGAGAAGGTGCTGCTGCTGGCGTGGATGGCGCGGAGCAGTGGCAAAATGGTCAGCTGAAGAACATCTTGGAAGACTACGCACCTGATGACATCTTTATTATGGATGAATCGGCACTATTCTTTAAGCTGCTACCAGACAAAACGCTCGCGTTCAAAGGCGAGACGTGCACCGGTGGCAAGCATACAAAAGACAGAATATCAGTGGCGTATTGCGTAAACATGACTAGAACCGACAAAACTCCGCTCCTCGTGATTGGAAAGTTGGCGAATCTTAGATGTTTCAAAGGTGCCCAGTCGCCATCAGGGGTCATCTATCGCAGCAACACCAAAGCATGGATGACGGCAAAACTCTGAGGAGTACGTGCGCCTCATCGATCGGCGTTTCGCGGCTAAGAACAGAAGAGTTGTTATTATTTTAGACAACGCTTTGGCGCACGTCGCCCTGGACAACCTGACGACTGTGAAGTTGGCATTTCTGCAACCAAACACAACAGCGATAGCCCAGCCCTTGGATCAAGGCATCATTCGAGCTGTAAAACAGCTCTACAAGAAGAATCTACTGCACAGATTTCTTCTCGCCACTGAATGTGGCAAATTATTCTACATCAACCTGATTGGAGCGATTCACCTGCTCGAATACTCGTGGCGGCAGGTTGAAGCAACGACAGTTCAAAATTACTTCAAGCGTGCTGGCTTCAGTGTGTGTGCGGGCGACGCAGATGACGCCAGTGACACCATCGACCAGACTTCGGACATCGTAGATCAAGCTTGCAAAACTCTGCTAGCTGAAGTGCTGGAGCGGCAGGGCGTTACGGAAGGCATTTCCTTCCCCGACTTCAGAGACACAGACAGTGATGTGCAGACATCTCCGGACATGTCCGACGAAGCCATTGTTGCCTCGGTTGTCGAAGTGTCACCAAATGATAGTGATGAGGACGACATGGAAAGCGACAACACTGGTGATCCAGGTCCGACAGTGGCCGAAGCTGCACATTGCGTCAGCGTCATCCGGTATTTGCCGAGAAGAGGGGGCTGGCGGAAAAGCTGGCTCACAGCATAAGTGAGTTTGAGGCCGCTGTCCTTGCTGCTAGGCCGCCGCGTCGTCGAATGAAGATTACAGACTTTGTCACGCGAAGTTAATAAATTACTGCATGTTTTTTGTTCTTTCATCGCACCCCTGGAGGTTTCTTTTTTTGCTAAGCAAGTGAGCGACCTAACGCTATTTCGGTTAAGTAGTACTACCGTTTAGTACGTACTTTTTCCGAGCTCCGACCAACTACGGTTTAACGAGGTTTCACTGTAGTAGCAGAAGACCGAAAACAGCGGGAGCTATAGCAGGTGACAACCGCCATTGATCAATTTCCTGCCATTGGCTCCGAGATTGCTGATTCAACTGCGCCCCGCTACATGGCACACCCTGTCCAATGTAACTACACAAAAATTGAATTGTTGAACCACTCGCGTCATTTCTCATAGTAATGTCCAGCGGTTCTTTTTTCCATGAATCAAACAGAAATGAACAAGCGGCATTTTAGTGCATTTCTGGATGCACGGAGATTGATTACAAGTTAGTAATTCTAGGCGGTCCGTCTGATGTCATCAGGAAAATTTTTAAAAATGTCCTACTGCGGCGCTTGTGTTCTTGTGCATTTACATGATTTCTCAGTAAGTAAGGCTCTGTTGATGATAATATTGTCATTCTAGATGTTGTCATACATTAGGCTTTCACTCTGACGTAAATTCTTATTCTACTCTAGTGTCCCTTTAAAGCGCGTAAGTGAGAGAGAAATTGCTTTGCACTGCGGCCCCGCTTCTCTGTCACGTGACTCGCTGAGCACTTCCTCAACCCTCTCGGCTGGCTGTGTGAGGAGGACGGCTCTCTCGGCCACGCGTTGCATGGCTACGAGTTTTGAAAGAGCCGCGCCGAACGAGCTTCACACTCTGCAGAAAACAATATACTTAACACACTATGGTCAGTTCTTTTTATAGAATATTTGATAGACCAATTTAGTTCGTTATATCCATTTACCTTTCAATTTTACTTCGTCGAATTAAGGTTTAAAATGCATTGTTCTCAATGAAGCTTCCAAGGGGAATTAAATTCACTTTGTTATAGCCATTATTTTGTTATATCCTGTTACGTTAAAAGAGGTTTGAGTGTAGTGCGGTAACAAAAGTAGAATGGGGCGCATGCGACATTATCAACATTACAAATTGTGGTCAGTGCTTCACCTGTGAAACTGATTTTCATTCTTTTCAGTTTATATGGTTCCACGGTCTTCATAGCAGAGCGCATGCGGTGCTCGGCGGTTGCTCGGCAACGGTACAGCGAGTTTTTTGCAAGACCACCGCCATCTATATAGTTTGACTAACAGCTTTGTTGTTAGGAAATATAGACCCGCATAATGAGGTATGCACACAAAATGCACCTTACTAAGATTCGTGCATGAACCGAAATACGACGTGATCAAACTAATTTGAAACGGACGCGGTTGTGTCTTTGTGCAGCCCACGTGTGTTGCTCTGTCGATGATAAAACTCGACTAAATTTGGCGTTTCCCATGCAAATTGCAATTTAAGCTTGGCACAGCAGATCAGAGTGGCGCAGAATGGCGCAGCACTTCCACGCGACTACTAGGATAATGTTTGCTGTCAGAGGTGCTTCTGCTGGCTGGAACAGCAACATACATGGGGAGTGTCGACCTTCGATGAAACAGATGCTCTTCCCATCAGCTCCTACAGGGCGACCATCATGGTGCGAATTCCCAATGTCCACCAAGCATCATCTTGGGACAGCACCCGGTGTCTCTAATTAGTCACCACCTGTCACAGCTGCAAAATGTGCAGCAACTTGCCCCAGCCAAACGAGAGTCACACTTCTGGCCACTGCCTCGTAGGACTGATGACACAGGCACATCTGTTAGTGCCCATTCATGCACTCCAGCATGTTTGTAATAGTTCCTTGAATTAATGATTTCGTTGTCTCGAGGTGTAAATGTATTTCCAAAGAAGCTACATTGTTACATGAAGGTCAATGCAGTGAAAACACTTCACCTTGTATGAGGGGCATTTTCTTTAAACGAAAGTTTGTTGCAAAACTTCACTACGTGAGGGTCGGCTTCAAGTAGAAGACGATGGCGATTTCTTCAGCACAAATCCACTAATAAATGATGGACGGGCTTTACAGCATGCTCTTTTTATGATGGCTGCATGGAACTTTGTGCTTCATCGAAATTGATTTGAAGCCGCACACACATCAAGCAGTTGCTCCATACGAAATGCAGCAAACCTAAGAGAATTCTGCAACAAGAAAAAAAGGCGTCAAGCAAGACTGCCGTAAGGATACCCACATTTCATAGCTTTACGTCAATTCCCGACTAAGAATGACACATGGACAACAGATGCAGTGGAACATTAGAAAGAAAAAGACATGCAGTGCACAGGTGATGAGAATCAGTGAGGCGCAGTGTTGCTTGATCTGTACTCACCGCGTGGGTATCAAGAGCCAAGCGATGTGTCCGAGAGGCAAAGTGCTACTCCGAGAGGCATGAGAGAAAAAAATATATATATATATTTTTTAGTTCCTTGAGAAGAAAAGCAACAAAAGCCATGCAGTATCACAAAAGCAAAATCACCTACGGAATCTGCTTAACCTCCAAAGCACACGTTAGCGTTTAAAAGGATGCACGGTTGGGTGAGTTGGTGATCACAGATCTCGTGAAGGATCAGTGCGGAAGTGAAACGAAGACCAAAGCAGGGGTAAACAGACAAGACAAGCCCCGACTAGCAATTTTATTGAAAAAACAACATGCACTCTAAACTATTTATAACAAACTTGCATATTATACAAAAATAGGTTCACTAGATCCAAAAATTCTTTATGGAGGTATACTTTTAACACTACATTTATTACAACACTATTTTTTCATTTACATGAAACCCGTTCATAACGAACTATAAAGTGCCGTGAAAACTGGGCATTATATCACTACTTTGCTATATATGGACTAGGCGGTAAAAACGTGTACTTAGCAACCAAGTTGTTCCGTCTGTGCATATTTACTCAAGCACCAACAACCACCTTGATGACAATTGTTAAGCCTTTTCACATATTGAAGCGACGCCTGCTTCATGTTTATGGAGTGAATTAAACCAGCCTTAACAATAAACTGACATCATTTCACTGAAGTGTAATACCGCTGCAGGTAGACGATCATTCCTGGCTAATTGTGTGCAGCATGTCACCTACTCGGCTAACATCACTGGAGAGCCGTTGCTGTATACCCTTTGCATGAATTTGAGTGATGTTCGTGCCTGCTTTACTCCGAACAATGCTCAAGGGCAGCGATTTCAGTGTTCGTTCAACGTGAGAAAGACCAACATTCTGTAAGCAATGCACACTTTGCAAAGCTAGACGATATTGCACGACGGTGCACGGCGCACTTCTATGTCACCTAATAAAAAACATGCAGTAGATGCTTCCAGTCAAAGCACTGACACCTCTTGGTGACTACGACACTAACACAGAGAGCTACTTTCGCTTCTATGCAGAGCGACACAGCGAAGGCAAACTTGTGGACCAGCAACAGCAAGGTGTACTAGAGCCACTGTCAATCCGCACAGCTTATGCAGCTTGCGCAGCTGAGCAGATACAGCAAAACCTCACCAAGTCAAAGTCACTGGGACCGTAAGAAATGTTAGGATTAAGTGGATTTTCAAATTAGCTGAATATACAAAAAGTGGGCTGCAAGGAACTTGAAATTATTCATAGTACTTTAATCAGTGCTGGTCGTTGTTAGCTGTGCTGACTAGTTCGTGGCTCCAAAGGTTATGTTTTCCAGAAATACAAGGTCACAGTTCTGTCTCAAACAAGAGGAACACCTCGCGGCTGCAATTGCAAAAAGAACAAATAGAAAAAAAACACGTTGTAATCAACTGAAATGCACACCTGCGAAAAATAAGATATCTCCACTGCAACCCAGTAGTGACATGCGGGCACCGTTTCACCTGCTTCACGCTGCATCAGCACGTCATAATGAGACTATTTGCCCATTCTTTCTAGTAAAATAAAGAATTTAATTATACAGAGTGACAAAATTCACAATGTCCTGGCAGAAAAACATGATTATCGAAAGTTTCAAATTGAGTTTCTGAAATAGGCAAAGCAGGCAAGAATTCTGCCAGCAGTGCAAGTGCAACTGGCACTGTGAGGTTCGCATACATCACAAATTCCGCCAGACTCTCCTTTATTAATTTATTTATATTCCCAGAAAGAATGTGTAAATCTTGACGCGCTGATGTTGCAAGAAACATGCAACATGCTGCCCACGTGTCACCACTGTTTTGCAGTAAAGCACATCTTGTTTTCCACAGGTACACATTTCGGCTGATCACAAGACCATTCCTTTTGCTGAAAGTAACAATGGTGGTATCAGTAGTATCGCTACAGTACGTTGCCTAGTGGCTCTTAAAGGCTCTCGTTACTGCAGTTTTGTGGTAAAATCTGGATAGGGAATTGGCACACTGCACCCAAAGTTTTTTAATTAACCGGAATGGTGCTGACCACCACTTCAAATCATACGCTCAAACTTGCACTGCAAAATACAGCATAACGGAAATACTTCAAGTTAAGCGGCATTTCGAAATAACCATGTTGAATTAATTAGGTTTTACTGTAGCTGCAAGCGACTTTGACAAGGTTTTCGGCAATAAGCCATGAAGGCATCTTAATACCCTTCCGCCGCCTCGCCTTTGCTCTTTTTATTGCTTACACAAGAAGGCATCGCTGAAATTGCGCAGAAGTCGTACAATAATGGACTGGTCTCTGTCATTGCTGAGAAAACGGGCCTTTTAAAGCGCACTGTGGTATCGACAAGTTGAGAGACAAAGTTAACTCTTATGTGATGAGAAGCTTTGTGGAGCAGGCTTTTTCAATAACACTAGCATTCTTTTTAAGGATAAAAATCAGTTCTTTAGGAAGCAACCGAGGCTTTGAGCATAAACGATTCAGGGGATCACTGCATCAGCCACGAGTCTTTGTCGCTACATGAAAAAGAGGTAACGAATCTTATCAGCTTATAAGATAAAAATCACATTTTTTTAGTGCTTATATGTCGCTGCTCCAACAAAATTTCAGCCGATAGTCAACGCTCGTATTTTCTGTTTACTCCTACTTAGGTGTGCGCACGGGAGGCAGAGGGGGTTGCAAAGCCAACCTCATACATTGACATGATAGGGAGGGGGCCCCTGGACAGGAACCTTGCACACGCCTATGTATGCCCACCCCGCTACACGTTCAAAGCTTGTTACAGTAAAACCTCGTTAATATGTACTTAAGTGCCGCGAACACTGTTAAGTGTACAAATGTAGTATGCATTAATTACCAAGTACCAATTCTTTATGTGCGCTATCGCCACTCAAGAAGGAATAAATACAATGCGACACACCAAATATTGCCATAGTGCCCACCACGCAGCGATTTCTTTCTCTTTTCCAATGATTGGCACTCTCGCACTCTCTCGCACGGTCGTCCGACGGGACGCGGAGGCTGCATCAAAGAGCATTTCGAAACTACTGTGGAGTCCAGGATATGCAGCTGGCGCAGCGACTGGCATAGTGATGAAACGGACATAAGTGGCTGTCTGCAATAAATGTGTACAGTGATCTATCTACTACTTAGCGAAAACATACACAGCTTTTTGAGATGCAGTACGGTCGAAGAGCTGATTGTCTACTGGCTAGTTGAGTGCAGTGCATTGCCTACTTGGCGTACACACCATGCCAGCCACTTGCGCCTATTCTGCTTCAGACCGTGCACAGATGTTGCCAGAAGGCTATTCGATGATGCGAGCTTTCTGCAAGCGATAGCGGTCCTGGCAGCGACTGGAGGTGTGTTAGAGTTGTCGCCTTATGAAAACATCGAATCAAATCAAATCAGTTTTATTTACATCCTGAAGATGTGGGTAAGCTTGGGCGAAAAGCGAAACAATGCACTTGAGGAAAGCTTAATCCCCATATACAAGGCATACAGAAGAGTTGCTCAAGGATGTGATAATGCTATCAAAAAACAACTAGCGCATTACATACCTGAAGAAAAAATACTAACACAAATGCTATCACAAAATCATACCAGCATGTCACAGGAGGAAAAAAAAAGAGAAAGGAGTAAAAATGTTTAATGTAACACTTAGAACCTTGTTTCTACAATATTTATGACTACAATGATACAGGGTATGTGTAGATATTCGTGCCGACATTCAATCATACCGATAGTTGTACAGACAGTCAATCGTTAGAAATAATTTGACCCAATAATTAATCCAAAACTATAGGCAAACATCAAACAAACAAAAGTAATGTAAATATATCTCTCTTCATACAGTACAGCAAATGTGTGTGTGTGTGTGTGTTTTTACGGAGATTGGTTACAGGAAGTGTTTTTTAATATGACATACTACACTTCTCTACTTCTATTTTACTTCTGAGGAGTGTATTTAGCAAGTGAGGCAAACAATACTGTAACATTTGTCGTCCGTATTCAGTTCGGCAAAATGGGATGTTCCAGAAGTCTTGTTTGCGGAGAGAATAGAAAGGGGCATTTCCTCTTAAGTTAGCAAGATTTAAAAGGTCATGCTGATTTTTATCATGCAGTATGCTTGCTGACAGTATGCTTGCTGACTCAGTGACTGCAATCCACAGCGCTCCCCTTCGAAAGAGCGAGCTGCAAAGGGCAAGTTTCTGCAAAGCAGAGCACGCTGAACACGGTCCCATAAAACTATCAAGGCGGAAGTGATCGGCACCCCTGCGCGCTCAGGTAGTCAGCGGCCAATAAAAGCGTGCAATAGGCTTAAAGCGACACTATGCCACACACCTAGCTTTTTTTTATCGGAGATGTCATACTGGCACGCTTTTTCGGTGGCCGCCACCTTGCCTTCGGTCTTTGCCAATAGTTACAAAAAAAGGCATTGCCGAAATCGCGCGAAAGTCGGAATAAATAATCGGCCAATTACCTGCTGTTGCAGCAATACAACTGTACACAAATAAAGCAGCGCAAATGTAAAAGATGGCAGCCATCTCGTAATTTCACTCACGATTATTTTCGCTTCCACAACCACCTTGTGGCGCAGCAATGGCGCAAATTAGACAAAAAAAGACCCTTTTGGAGCAGCATGGCACCATAATTTCCTGTTGGCGTAATTGGCGCAATTGGCGCAGGTTTCTCACCCCTATAAAAAAACAAGTTGACGAAACGCTGCGCAACGTCATCCAGCCTTCAAAGAGTAGATGGTCTTCACCGGTGGTCTTAGTGAAGAAGGATGGAACACTATGTTTTTGTGTTGACTATCGGCGCTTCAACAAGACCCCAAAGAAGGACGTATACCCTCTCCCCCGAACAGATGACGCCCTTGATCGACTCCACAACGCAAAATAATTTGATCGACAGACCTCAAAACAAGTTACTGGCAAATCGAACTACATGAGCGAGACCAAGAAAAGACTACATTCATTACACCAGACACCCTCTTCGAGTTCA